CCTGACTCTTCTAGCCTGATCTCACACATGAAGTTTATTAGTACATTCCAGACACACTGGCCTTTATTCAGATCTGGGAACCTCTAAATTCTTTCCCATCTCAAGGCCTTGGGACATCTTCTTCTCTCTGCTAAAACAGTTTTTCTTCCTACTATTTGCTAACTCCCACCAATCCTGGATCCTTACCTCTAATGCCACTTCTACAAAGAATCTAAACTAAGTTTCCCAGGTTTTTGATTCTCATCATACCCTGTCCTTCCCCTTCACTGCAGTTATCACAGTGCAATTACACATTTATTGCTTTTTTAATGATTGTCTCACNTTTCAGGGGATGACTATGGCTGGTATGCAGAACACAGACTAGAGGAATAGGGACAGGGTAGAAGGCAGGAGACCAGTTAGGAGGTATTAACAATAATCCAGTACAAGAAATGATAGGGCCAGATAGAGTTCAGATCTGGATTCCGAGATTTGGAGCCAAGGATTTGCCACCTGTTGACAGAGGAATACTAAAGCTTGGTTGTGGGAGAATCATGCATCAGTTACTTCCTCCATCTGGAACACAGACTCTCTCCATGGAAGAGAAAGAAGCACAGCTATTTAGAAGTCAGAATTCTGGAAACACAACTCCATTACACACATGTAAGGCCTCATATCCAACATGAACATGTGACTAGTCAGGGTCCTCTCTGGACTCTCTTGATTGTGCACAGCCTTGCACATGTGCACAGATTTCCAGACATCAGTGATCTGTAGGATCTTATGAAAACCCACTTATTCCTTAAATCTCCATGTTAAAATTCTGTCCAATCTGTGGCTTTCCTCACCCAGAATCACAATTTCATGCTATTTGCAACACTGGCCTTCCTTTTTTTTGTCCCAAATATCACTACTGTTTCCAACAATGTTCCAGAAATATGAGGTTTTCCCACATTTACCCCAAATCCAGTAAGCCCCTTTCAGGCAGCAAAATAAACATTCTAGTTTTCATAGCTTGCCCCACCTTTTTAAAACGACCATGACTAAGACAGTGGTGGGAATGATCAGAAGGTGAGCAGCTAAAACACCACACACTGTTCTTAGCCAACATTCACTAGCTTTTCCTGAATAAATGCTTCTCAATTTTTTGTATAATTTGGTGACTTTTTCAACTCCTGAACTGGTTGGTTTTCTGACAATTTTATCGACTTCTGTCATTGTTTTTGGTAAGTGAATCTACCTAGCTCCTAACAGCTATGCTGCATTAAATATATTTTAAATGTAATTTTCCTGAGCAACCTACTAAAAATGTCATAGAACATATTTTGAAATATTTCTAAGTGTCGAAAACTGACACTATGTTAAATTATTATTTTCTTTTGGCTGTTAACATGCCTTTGTTGAAGAGCTTACTGAAGTGGACCTAAGAGGAAAAAATTTCTAAGCAGAGTAAACAGCATTTGCAAAGACACAGAAGCATGTTGGGAAACTGTATGGTTAAGTGTTAGAAGGGTAACTACTCTCTTTATAGCTCTTCCTTTCCAACTACAGATGAGCTCAAATATCTAATACCTAAAAAATGTACTTTCCCAGCCAGATACACCCTAGTGTTTTAGTCCAGTCCCTTTCCTCTTCTTCTCATCAACATTCTTGAAAGAACAATTAGAACACTGTTATCCCCTTCCTCACCTCTAGTCAATCCTTGATCCATTACAATGAGGCTTCTTTCCCAACTTTATTAAAATCACTCATAGGGGTTCAGTGACCTCTCAAGTTTGCCAAGCCAAACTAATAATCTTTGATCCATATCACACTGAACATCCCTGTTCCACTCACCACACTGCACATCGCTGCCTCCTTTGTCTATTACACTGTTAGAACAATTCCGTGGGTCAAAGGAGAATACCTTGATTGTGCGTGTCATGAAATTCATAGGCTTTAGGATGAAACTGACATAGGTTTGAATTCTGTATATTATATTCATTAGCCCTATGATGTCAAATGATTTATTTAAAATTGTTTAGTCTATTTCCTCATATCAAATATAAAGATGACAATAGTAATTTCTCAGGACTAACATAAGTAAAGTATGAAACTAGGTTATATGCTAATAGATACTCAAATCTACATTAGCTAGTTATCCTTTTAAGTTAGTGGATAAAAAGGGAGCAATTTTTATTTACTAAATTGGAATAAAAGGCAAAATTACATAATACTAAATTGTATAATGTATTCTTATTGAGTGGCACCTGGCATTCTATTACGTTAGTTCTCTCCCAATTCTAGTTCCACAAATTTTCATCTCTAAAGGGAATGCCATTTTTGCAAGACATTACCTGAAATCTTGCATTCACACAACTTTCCAGTAGATCTTTGTCATACCTGTTTATTCTCCTTCCTGAGCACACAGCTCCATTGTATTTCCCAGCCACCCCTGCGGCACTTACTTAGCAGAAAAGAATATGTACAGCGTCTAGGTCTGGTCCTAAATTCTCCTGTATGTGATTTCTGTTCCTTTCCTCATTGTGTTGGCTGGGATGCAGATGACCCAACAGTGGTCCTGGAAGTCTTGTATAAAATACAATGGAGTCACATAATGGAAGTAAGACCTGAACTATGTGATCAATAGAATACTATGAAAGTGATGTGTGTGATGCCAAGGCTAGGACATAAAAGGCACTTCTGCTTCTATCTTAGTCTCTTATATTGCCATCTGAGGGAAGCTAAGGACACCCAAGCAGCCCCTATGGGGACCTACACTGAGAAGAAGCAAAGTTTCCTGCCAACCACCAGCATCATTTTGGCAACTATATGAATGAGCCCCTTGGAAGCTTCTCCGAGCTCCCAGGCCCACCCAATGAAGTCTTCAATGACTACATCCCCAGACAATATCTAACTCTTCATAAGAAACTCTTAACCAGAATTGCCCACACAAGTCACCCCCTAAATCCTGACCCACAGAAATCATGAGATAATAAATGTATTTTTTTAAGTCAAAAAAAAGAACCCTGACCTCTACCTCCAACCATATATGCAATTTTAAATAGATCAAAAGAAAACCATTAATGAAAAAACTGACAAATTAGAGTTCATAAAAATTAAAGTTTGGTTCTTTCAAAGCCATTGTTTCAGAAAATGGAAACTACAGAGTGGGAGAAAATGCTTGCACAACATAGCTCATAAAAGACTTTTGTCAATTTACATAAAGAAATCTTAAAAATCAACAAACATCCAATTTAAAAAATGGGCAACAGATTTGAACAGATTCTTGAATCAAGAAGATACACAAATTACAAATATCATGTGAAAAGATGCAAAACATTTTTCATTAAAGAAATTCAAATTAATATGCCAAGATACCACTACACATCCACTAAAATGCCTATAATTTTCAAAATTGACAATGACAAATGTTGATAAGGATATGTTACAACTAATTCATATGTTACTGATAAGGATGGAAAAGGTACAGCTACTTTGAAAAACAGCTTAGTGATTTCTTATAAAGTTAAATGCATACCTACCATAAGACCCAGCCAGTCCACTCCTAGGCATTTACTCAAGAGAAGTGGAAGTACCTATTTACCAACCACTTGTACTCAAATATTCATAGCAGCCTGATTACTACCGATGGCTACAATCAACTCTAAGGTCCACTAACTGGTGACTAGATAGATAAACAAATTGTGGCACATTTTTACAATAGATTACTCATCAATAAAGAGGAACCAATTACTGAATCAACATTGACAAATATCAAAGCATCATGCTATGTGAAAGATGCTATATACAAAAGACTATGTACTACATGATTCCTTTAATATGAAATTATATGCAAGGTAAAACATGGTGACAGAAAACAGATCAGTGATTGCCAGGGACCACAGATGAAGGAAAAGATGGACTGTAAAGGGTCATGAGGGAAATTTAGGGGGGCAATGGAAATGTTTTGTATCATGATTCGAGTGGAAGTTATATAATGTATATAGATGCATCCATTTGTCAAAACTAAATGAACTATACACTGAAACCAGCAACATTCTATTGTATGTAAATTATACCTTCATAAAGTTTTTTTTATGAAACTCTAAGAATAATGTCTAGCAGAGAATAAGCACTCAATAAATATTAGCTAAAAATAACTATCTTATTTATGGCAATCAAAGAAAGGAACGGGGTCATGGAGAAAAGGACTGAGACTTCTAAGATGCTTTTTTCCAAAGATGATATAAATTCAGAAATGTATTTTTCATAAACCTTATCCTACAATCAGATAATAATAAGGGCTTGAAGTAAAGATCTGTCATTTAGCTCTAGTTTCTATAAAGATTACTGAGCACAGAGCCAAATGAAGTGTGACCTCATGAGGTTGGAGGACATCTCCCAGCAGCGTCTGTGTAGTAAACAGAGCAGATATATCACGCTATTTCAAAATTCAGTGGTAAGGATTTAGGCAGCAACAAAAAACAAATCAGAACCGAACAGCATCAAATGAGAAGCAGGGCATGACATATCAGTGAAATTCTAAAAACACTTGAGAGAACTTCAAACTTCTCATTAAACACTTCAGAAATACTTGAAATAAAATAGGAAAAGTTGACAGACAGTAATATACTAGTTGACATGAGGATTTAATAATGTGTGGAACTACTGAATCACTGTCTTTTATATTTGAAACCAATATAATAATGTATACCAACTATACTTCAATTTTTTAAAATACACTTTAAAAAAATAGGAAGCAAAACAGCCAAGTGAGGCTGTCAAATTTAAATAGCTGTTTAAGTGGCACTGGGACCACGCAACCAGGAACCAAGCAGACAGAATTCTCTTCTGCACCCAGCAGTATCTCGTCTAAGAGTAGCAGAGACATGACCACTATTCCTCCCCCAAACTTTGCACAAGTACAGACACAGATATATACACATACACACACACACAAACACACACACATACATACATACTTGAGGATTATAAAGCAGCTATATAAAGAGAGGGGACCAAGTTAGTTTCACTCTTACCCTCTTCTGCTTCATCCTCCTGGGGTGACAATGGACCCCCTCCACTAGTAGGAGTGATTGGCTCCTCCTTCTCAGACTCTCGCTGCAGACTCACCACTTCATATATTGCATCTCCAGCACTGCTATGGCATTTTCCCTCGGACTGAGAAAGATAAAAACATCTGTTTCAATATTAAAAATTTGAAGGAAACACTGAAAGATAGTGTTCCAATGATTCATTCATTAAACAAAGATGAAATGAAGAGCAGATTCGATCTACAGCATGCCTGAAGTTGAAAATATTTATAAAGTGCACTGGCTGTCACATGATGTTCTACATGCACAGGTCTTCTAGTATTATTTTAACCAATACGATGAAACCTACTAACCATTTGAAAGAATTCCATTACTTTTTATCAGAAAAACCTGAGACATCAAGGATACTTAGACAGACAGATGAGCAAGTGATGCTAGATTCTTAGAATCAACTACCTCACACTGAGGTAAAGAGGTAGCAGCTACATCTGTCAACTAATTCATGACAACTTACTTTGTTTGCATCCTAAATGACCCTATTTTAAGGAGGGAAAATAGGGATCCAACTGTCAATTAACCAACTTAGCATGGCTTACAAATCCCTAGACAAACTGGCCCCTGACTCTTCTAGCCTGATCTCACACATGAAGTTTATTAGTACATTCCAGACACACTGGCCTTTATTCAGATCTGGGAACCTCTAAATTCTTTCCCATCTCAAGGCCTTGGGACATCTTCTCTCTGCTAAAACAGTTTTTCTTCCTACTATTTGCTAACTCCCACCAATCCTGGATCCTTACCTCTAATGCCACTTCTACAAAGAATCTAAACTAAGTTTCCCAGGTTTTTGATTCTCATCATACCCTGTCCTTCCCCTTCACTGCAGTTATCACAGTGCAATTACACATTTATTGCTTTTTTAATGATTGTCTCACCCACAAGACAGCAAGCACCAACAGGGAAGGGTTGTATTTATATTCAATCAGAAATAATATGGTACCTCACACATAGTAGGTATTCAACAAATACCAGTGGAATGAATGACTACACTAATGATAGAACAAATAAATTTTGGAGTCAAAACAGATCTGGATCTGAACTCAGAATTCACTAGTAAGATGCACAGTCTTAGGCAAATTACTTAATTGTACTGAGTCACAGTACATATATCAGTAAAATGGAAATAATACTGCCTCTAAATTGTTAAGAAATAATACTTTGGACATTTGCCAAAGTGTCTAGAAAAGGTTTTTTACTATTGTTATCATTTCAATGTTTTTGTACCACATGAGGCTCAAAAGAACACAAAATAAGAATAATATAGGCATATGAAGACATAATCATCTCTAACATCTACCTGTACTATAATCAATTTAAATTATAAAAGCATAACTATTTTTTAAATGCATATATAGCTGGAGAATCTAGCATACTCTATACATTCAGTATCTTTTTAAATTTAATATGTGTTATAAAAACCTTCCCATGTCTCATTAACGTATTTTTTTTTAACAGCTACATAACATCTCAGGGTCCAGACATACCGTAATTTATTTAATAGTTTCCTATTGGAGAATATTTAGACTGTGTGCAATTTTTGATATTAAAACAGCACTGCAGTGAACATCTTTGAACATATATCATGGTGTACTTGGTGTAATGTTTCTCAGAGTAGATTCCTTTGTTGGGTCAAGGTTGTTAAATTTTATTTTTTTATTTTAATTTTTTATTAAGATATGATTGGTATACACTCTTGTGAAGGTTTCACATGAAAAACCAATGTAGTTACTACATTTACCCATATTATCAAGTCCCCACCCATACCCCAATGCAGTCACTGTCCATCAGTGCAGCAAGTTGCCAGAGATCCACTATGTCCCTTCTCTGTGATACACTGTTCTCCTCGTGATCCCCCACACCATGTGTACTAAACATAATACCCCTCAGTCCCCTTCTCCCTCCCTCCCCACACGCCCTCCCACACCCTTCCCCTTTGGTAACCACTAGCTCATTCTTGGAGTCTCTGAGTCGGCTGCTATTCTGTTCCTTCAGTTTTGCTTCATTGTTATACTCCACAAATGAGGGAAATCATTTGGCATTTGTCTTTCTCCACCTGGCTTATTTCACTGAGCATAATGTCCTCCAACTCCATCCATGTTGTTGCAAATGGTAGGATTTGTTTCTTTCTTATGGCTGAATAGTATTCTATTGTATATATGTACAACATCTTCTTTATCCATTCATCTACTGATGGACACTTAGGTTGCTTCCATATCTTCGTTATTGTAAAAAGTGCTGCGATAAACATAGGGGTGCATATGTCTTTTTGAATCTGAATTGTATTCTTTGGGTAAATTCCAAGGAGTGGGATTCTGGGGTCAAATGGTATTTCTACTTTTAGTTTTTTGAGGAACGTCCATATTGCTTTCCACAAAGGTTGAACTAGTTTACATTCCCACCAGCAGTGTAGGAAGGTTCCCCTTTCTCCGCATCCTTGCCAGCATTTGTTGTTCTTAAGTCTTTTCGATGCTGGCCATCCTTACTGGTGTGAGGTGAAATCTCACTGTGGTTTTAATTTGCATTTCCCTGATGATCAGTGATGTGGAGCATCTTCTCATGTGTCTGTTGGCCATCTGAATTTCTTCTTTGGAGAACTCTCTCTTCATATCCTCTGCCCATTTGTTAATTGGGTTATTTCCTTTTGGGTGTTGAGGTGTGTAACTTCTTTATATATTTTCAATGTTAACTCCTTCTCAATATGTCATTTACAAATATATTCTCCCATGCTATAGGATGCCTTTTTGTTTTGCTGATGGTGTCCTTTACCATACAGAAACTTTTTAGTTTGATGTAGTCCCATGAGTTCATTTTTGCTTTTGTTTCCCTTACTCAAGGAGATGGGTTCAGGAAGAAGTTGCTCATGCTTATATACAGGAGATGTTTGCCTATGTTGTCTTCTAAGAGTTTTATGGTTTCATGACTTACATTCAAGTCTTTAATCCACTTCGAGTTTACTTTTACATATGGGGTTAAAAAATAATCCAGTTTCATTCTCTTACATGTAGCTATAAAGTTTTGCCAACACCAGCTGCTGAAGAGGCTGTCATTTCCCCATTGTATGTCCATGGCTCCTTTATCATATATTAATTGACCATACATGGTTGGGTTCATATCAGGGCTCTCTAGTCTGTTGTTCCATTGGTCTATGGGTCTGTTCTTGTACCAGTACCAAATTGTCTTGATAACTGTGGCTTTGTAGTAGAGCTTGAAGTTGGGGAGCGTAATTCCCCTTGCTTTATTCTTCCTTCTCAGGATTAAAGCATAACTACTTTAATTATTCACTTTTTCAAGAATTCTCAATCACAAGTCAAATTTCAGGTATACTCAAATCATTTAGCAAATCATAAAAAGTTAATTTTTTCATTGCATAAAAATAGAGAAAAAAAAGACAGTCACAAGAAGTTAAATGGTTAGGTTTAAATCAACCAAATTTGTATTGCATTTCTACTATATTCAAGAAACACAATCTCAACTCCTAGAGCAACCATTAAAATAATCACACACAAAAAAAGTAAAAAATGAAATACTAACTAAATGTTCAAATAATTCAAAAGAAGGCAGAAAAAGAGAAACAAAAGAAAAAGAGGAAACAAGCAGAAAACTAATAAAATGATAGACCTGAATTCAAACATACCAAAATTAAATATAAATGGCATAAATATACCGATTAAAAGAGAAAGATCATCAGATCACATTAAAAACAAGACACAACTACATTCTGCCTAGAAAAACTCATTTTAAAATAAAAAATTCACTTTAAGTATAATGATACAGGCAAGTTAAATGTAAAACAAGGAAAGAAAAAGTACTATAAAACACCAATCAAAAGAATGCTGAAGAGACTATATTAATAAAAGACAAAGCGGATGGGGGAAGCAAAGATGGCGGCATGAGTAGAGCAGCGGAAATCTCCTCCCAAAACCACATATATTTTTGAAAATACAACAAATACAACTATTCCTAAAAGAGAGACCAGAAGATATAGGATAACAGCCAGGCTACATCTACACCTGCGAGAACCCAGTGCCTCACAAAAGGGGTAAGATATAAGACGCGGCCCAGCAGGACCCAGGCACCCCTCACCCCAGCTCTTGGCAGGAGGAGAGGAGTCAGAGCGGGGAGGGAGAAGGAGCCCAGGACTGCTAAACACCAAGCCCTAGCCATCCGCATGAGAGGGTAGACACACAGTGCATGCGTGGGGTGCTGGAAACTAGGGAAACAGGACAGTAACACCTGTGAGCAGGTCCACGCAGCTGGCGCCCCTGGGACAAAGAAAAGCAAGTGCCTTCTCAAACTCTTAAAGGGACAGGGATCCCACAGCTGGACGGAAACGTCCCAGGACACTTAGCCCAGCGGCTGGGAATCCCGGGAAACTCCGGGCACCCTAACCCCCTGGGCGGCAGCGCAGCTCACAGACCCCTCACAGAGATAAACAGCCTCCCACCCATTTCCCTTTGACGCGGCTCTGCCACAGAAGAGAAGCAGCCTGAGGCAGTAGGGCAGAGCTTCTTTCACAGTGGCCAGGAAAGAATAAGAAACCCCGTCTGCGCGCAACTGCCCAGCACAACTCACTAGGGGTCACTGTTCTTCCAGGAGAGGAAGGCCACAAACCAGCAAGAAGGGACGTTCTCCCAGCCAACACATGCGCCAGTTCCCCACAAATACCTCTATCGCCATGTAAAGGCAGAAGAATTTGATACAGACCAGACTAACCCAGACATCCTCCCCTGACATGGAATCTGGGGAGATAGACCTAACCAATCTCCCTGAAATAGAATTCAAAATAAAGCTCATAACCATGCTGATGGAGCTGCAGAGAAATATGCAAGAGCTAAGGGATGACGTCCAGAAGCAGGTTACAGAAATGAAACAATCTCTGGAAAGATTTATAAGCAGAATGGATAAGATGCAAGAGGCCATTGATGGAATAGAAACCAGATAACAGGAATGCATAGAAGCTGACACAGAGAGAGATAAAACGATCTCCAGGAATAAATCAATATTAAGAGAACTGTGTGACCAATCCAAATGAACAATATTCACATTATAGGGGTACCAGAAGAAGAA